TTTATTTTAATTGCTCCTATTCGCTAATAAATAGTTATCATGTATAAGCATAATTTTAGCATAATCTTATCTAATTCACATAATTCACATAATTTAGCATAATTTACAGCATATTTCTATATAAATTATCGTATAATTTCGCATAAATAACCTCGCAGAGCAGGCAGATTTTAAGGTTTGTCACCGCAGATTTTCGGTATCCCTAGTCTAGAGTAGGACTTTGCTAAATAACAAAAAAAAACAAAAAAAAAATTAGTAATATATATACTATAAAAAAAAAAAACAATAATGATATTGAACTCTTTTCGACGATTATCTGTACCAAAAAATCCAAATATATTTTTTGTAAAAAAACAATAGTATATAGTAAAAACGGAGAGTATACTAGTAGCAATAAGTTGGTAGTTGTTATTTAAAGGTAGTTCTCATATGCTATCTGCTAACTTTTTTAAAGTTTATTACTTATTACATGCACAGCACTTGTTATTTAGAAGTAGTTTTTATATACTACTTGCTAACAAGTTCAGAGTTTATTACTCACCGAAAAGTAATATATAGGTGCTCTATCTCTTTTCTAAAAGAAAGTTTAGAAGTTGTTAAGTTTTTCCATAGATGTAACTACTTTCTTTAGGTGCAAGTAGTCTTTTCTAGATGTTTTTTGCTTAGCCAGTCTTCTTCAAAATTTTTAACAAAAAGTGAGCGATTTGGTTTACTTTCTCCAAAAGATTAGCATTATTTGCTTCCCAAATTCAGATATACTCAAAAATACAACCACATACCTTGTTTATTAGTAGATATGATACATGATATAATCTGTAGATATGGGGTCCTCCATGTGACTGAGATTGGTCTCTAGTATAAAAGGTATTCAGAGGTAGCTAGTAATAGTTGGATAATAATTTGTTAAGGTTTTATACTATAGTCGAAATATGCAAACATTGTAACTGTTATAAAATTTTTTCTTAAACCTGGTACAGATTATAATAGTATATTTTTTTTTCATTCCTTTTGTACTATTTCTTAATAAAGATAATTCTCTCTTTGTTAGCCCTTGGGTTTTTCTCTTTATTTTTATTTTTTTTATATCTTATTGTACCTTCTTTTTTTTCTTTTAAAAATTTCTCTTTATTCTATTTGTTTTTTTTTAGTTAGTTTTTTTTGTTTTGTCTTCTTGGTAGTATTGGTAGTTTTGTATTAGATATAAGATTATTACTTTCTTTTGCTTTTGGTAAAAAAAGGAGATATAAAGAGAAAAGCTTTAACAGACTGACAAAGTTTATCTAACTGGTGCATCAAGTTGTATGTAGACACGTTTATTGCAGCTAAGTGATATTAGGCTTGCAATTACAAGGCTCACTGTTTGGTTAGAAATAATATATGGAGGGGGTCAGTAGAAATGGGACAAATTTATTAGATAAATTTGTCCCATTTCTACTGAATTCCTCCCATATATATTGTTCGAGATAGTTTACTGTCACTAAATATAGTCTTAATAAATTGAGCACTGGCAAGACTGTCAAAGATTTAAAAAAAAAAAAAATTATCAAAAAAAAAAACTATACTTATCTATCTGATAGTGTGGCAAAGAAAAAAGAGTATTTGATCTAGTATCAGCAATTGGATTAACACATGAATTTTAGTTATATAATTTTCTTGATCTTTGGTTGGCTAAAAAGATCAAAGATATATAAGTTATATATTTCTAGCTAGAAATGCTATATATATAACTTAATACTATATTAAATATTTGTTTAATATAATAGTTGGATGCTTATCTACCTTTTGTTATTGTAATTAAAAAATTAAAAAATTTTTTTAATTTATATTTATATAATAATAGACTATAATATTTCAATTTAAAAAAAAATAACTAGCTTTAATTTTAACTATACTTCTAACTTTATTTTTAATATTAATTCTAGCAAAAAAAGTTTATTATAGAATGTGTTCGTTATTTTTAATATTAATTCTAGCAAAAAAAGTTTATTATAGAATGTGTTCGTTATAAAAGAAGCTTTTTTGGTACAATGGTCATATTCTAATTGGCTAATAGGATGTGCATAATCATGTGATTTAATTTTGTTGTAAATAAAGGTGTTTACCGTCCATTTACAAGATCTCAACTTTGAACTTCATAAAGTTTACAATTATGGCTCCTCAACTTCCACCTGAGACTTATCAAAATGTGTTTAGGAATCTTGCTACAGACTCGAGAACTTTGGCTTCAGTTATATTAGTTAATCGTTCATGGTGTGAAATCGCTATACCTATTCTTTGGCAAAATCCCTTTATGCCTTTTCCTTCTTTTTTTCTCAATACCAATAACGGCAATATTCCATCGGATACACCAATTATTGAGGCTTATATAAGCTGCCTACCAGAAGAAGCGAAAAACAAATTGATAGATGCTGGCTTGGAACTTTATTTTCCTATAAAAAAAACGCCAGCTTTTAATTATGCATCATTTTTACAAACTTTGAATTACCGGCTTTTGCAGGATGCAGTTAACGAAGTGTTTCCGGATACAATTTCAGAAGAGACAAGAAAAACGAATGTCACATTAGTTCTTGAAGAATTATGCAAGTTATTTATCGGTCAATGTGCGAACCTAAAATCTATTCAATACGTCGGATATCCGTCGCTAAGTCCTTACATAATTGCAATTCCTTCTCGATCTATCGAACCAATTTTTATTGATTTATGTGAGCTCCCTGGTGCTGAAGCTTGTCTATCCAAATTGCAAAGTTTCGAGTATGGAGGTAAATAAAAAAAATTATCGTATATTTTTATTCTTTTCTTAATCAAGTTGTAACTCATAATATTATATATTTTTAAAGGAAACATTCCTATTGATTTGCTTCATGCATTTTCCAGAGTCGTCAAAGAACTTGACAATTTGACTATTACGGCACTTGGAGATGATAATGAAGGATTAATAGCATTAATAGACGCTCAAACCAAGCTGCAGAATGTTAAAATTCATGCACATGAGAATATACCAAATATTATATCAGCAATTCAATCCAAAACTGAAACAATCAAGAAAGTTTCCATTGTTGGTCGTACCTCTATTCTTTTGGATGATTTTTGTGGATTTTCCAACCTTGAAGAGCTGACATTAGAATTATTGGAATTTCCTTATAACCGTCTTTCGAGAAACTCTTTATGGGTTACTCAAGCAGAGAAACAAGAAATACAACGAAGGCAAAGAGAATTTCAACAATCATTTCATCAAGCACAAATCCAATATCAATTACAAGTTGCCCCAGTTGTCCAACCTCAGCCGGTAGCAATCCAAAATCAGAATCAAAATCAAAATCAAGGACATGCACCTCAAACGCAAAATCAGCCTACACCTTCCACGTCTCAAATACAAGATCAAAATATATCACAAACACAAGATTTATCTGCATCTTCTATTTCTCAAGGTACATCTTCTCAAGCACAAAACCAACCTACAACATCTACATCTGTGGCTCAACCTGAAGATCATTCTTTAAACCAAAGTCAAGATCAAAGTGCAGGCCAAGATCAAAATCAAAATCAATCCACCGCTCAAACTCAAGCTCAACCTATAGCGACGAACAACACACCAAACCAAACTCCAGGTGGACGAGGTAATTATTATTATGACTATATATTGTTTTATTTAGATTAATGAGATTTAACATTTTGTTTTCGTAATATAACTAACATTATATTTATGTCTTATTTTACAAGCAAACCAAGTCACTACACTTGCACAACAATTTGTTTCACTTTTGGGTACGGATCATCGACCGTGGCGTAATTTATATCCATCAGCATCTTCAGAATTGGAATGCTACGCTAATTCCAGCCTAACCAAGCTAAATAAGCTTAACATAAACCTCGCTGGTCAAAGAATACAACAATTAATTTTGTTAATTCAAAATACTCATGGAAGTCTACGTAAAATTGATATCGATCTTAGGGACCCATTAGATCCAGATCATTCGGGAACATTGTTTTCGACAATTGCTCTTTGTTGTCCAAATCTTACTAATATCCATCTCTTCGTTTCAAATGACGCTATCACACAACTGCCAACATTGTTTTCTGGTTGTCCTAAACTTCAAGAAATTGATTTTATTGGAGACAGAAGTGACGAGGGAAAACTAGATATTGACGATGTTCTTTGTGAAATTGGAAGTGTTGTTCCAGAAAATTTGAAATTTCTCAATTTGGGTTCGAAAGCGTGGACCTATACAAAAGATTCAATCAGCGACTTTCTTGATGAATGTGAAACCAGACTAAAGCATAAACCATGTACTTTTATAATGGGTGGTCATTTGTCAAGAAAAGTTGTGGAAAGACTTAATATGTACGAAGAAAAGGGAGTGATCCAGATTATGGTTACTAGAAATGAACGAGAAATATTTTTATAGATTATTTGCTTCAATTATAGTGGAAGTAAACGGAAATGTATGCTATTAGTGATGATAAAAAATTAGTTTTTTTTTTGTTCATTTTCTTTTATTTTGAATTTGCTTTTCATCGATATACATTACAATTCACATATCAATCCAATGTAATAAACTTTTATTCAAATAAGATCAGAACTTTGTTTGTACAGTCAGATATCTCTAGAATGTTGTTTACTTTTCTATGATGAAGCAGTATTAAAATGTTTTACAATAAGGTTGCCGGCCGTAAGTAATAATTACGGACAACCTAGATTGCAGCCCTAATTACAACTTATACCAAAAGTTGTGATATGTCGTAATGGTTGTAATTTGCCATAATCGTTGTAATTGCCGTAACAAATAAGTGTTCGATATAATTATGATAATAACAATATCGAATTATTAAGTGTAGTTCCATCGACCTGCAAATTTTTGAAAAGTAAAGTAATGCCTACTTTTAATTTCGACTTCTCTTATCGTTATAAATAATTTGATCAGATTTGTAACTATTTATCTGCTTATAAGCAATTAATCCTGCTTGACTCGATTTGACCAGACTCATTACGTCTATTACAGCCATTACACCTATTACAACCATTACATCTATGACTATACACCCCATTACAGCAAAAAATTACACTTTAGAATAAAAGATTGCAAACTTCCAACTTCATTGAACCTATTACGGCAGGCAACCTTAACTGTTAACTTATATCTAGATGTGTGTCGAATCACAAGACTTTATCATCATTTATTATTGAAATTTTTATCAGTTTCCGAACTTTGAACGTGACGAATTGTTAGATCTAATATTTAGTTTTTTGAATACTGATTTTATGTATACAATAGAATTGATAAGATTTACGTGAAAATTTCCAATTTTATTTATAAACCATTTAAATCTTTATAACCTATACGAGGAAACATTTTCTTCAGTGCGTGATTTTTTTTTATTAATTGCTGGTAATCAAGATATACACGTAGTATATTATATTAATAAAGACAAATTTCTTTATTTCATCGTAATACACCTGTTACACGAGGTTTATATAACGCTAATCATATCATTTTTATAGTCGGTGTTGCCACTTGGCCACTTGGTCGGTCAATGCCGAAAGGGCAAGTAAATTAGAAGCTAGTAATATAATTGTTAATAAAATAAGTTGGAAATTTTTGGCCAAAGTTTGGCTATTGGCCGAAAAAATTGGCTAACACTGCATTCTGTAGATTATCATGTTATCGGCGTCACGTGATCGTATTTTTTAATACAAATCTACTACTGTCCACGACTAAAAAAAAATTATGGATTCAAAAACAGAACAACCTACGCTTGATAAAGATTTGGTAACGTCAAATGATTATTCATATTTTTTATATCTCTCACTAATTGGTAAAGGTCTTTTATAATGGAATTACCTTACTAACAGGTTATTTAATTCTGGCAATTTCAATTTTTCAGATCGAAAAGGCAACCACAGCACTTCTTAAATATGTTTCAAATCAACAAGAGGATAAGAGTAATGACATTCTCGCAGACAAAGTACACATTGTTTGGTTAATTGTTTCTACTCACAGATTTTTAGACATAACTAAAGATAAACCTGTTAGCATGTACGTGTCTTATAACGGTTGAGAATTGCAATATTTTCAAAAAAATTTTTTCTTGCGAATACCCGATTAGTTTAGAACATTGATCACATTGATCAAAGATCGATTTTCAACTACGAAATAGTTAAATAAAGATAGCTGAAATCGATCTTCGATTAATGTGATCAATGTTCTAAATTAATCGGGTATTCGGTATTCACAAGAAAAAAGTTTTTTTGAAAATATTGCTATTCTCGACCATTTCGAAAACAACGATAATATGAGAGCACTCAATAATATTCTTGAGATAAATTTAATTATTGTCATAATTTTTTTAGTCCGCTAAAGCATCCTTTATATGATGCATCGACAGAAATTTGCTTGATAACAAAAGATCCTCAAAAGACTTTTAAAGAACTGGTTGCTTCTAAAAATTTGAAACGTATACGAAAGGTACTTGGAGGTTTAGTTTATTGCTTGAGTGAACAATTTTTCTAAAGTTACGAGATCGTTATTTTAATCCGGATAAAGGTGATTGGAATATCTAAACTTCGGAAAAAATATCAACCATATGAAGCGAAACGCCAATTGTGTAATTCGTATGATTTGTTTATGGCAGATGATAGAGTTATACCTTTGCTTCCAAAATTGTTGGGAAAATGTTTCTTTCAGAGAAAAAAGTAAGGGCCAAGAACATATTTCTATAATTTAGTTTCGAAATTGGACATTTTATAACTTTTCTTTGTAATAATAGGCAACCTATTCCCATATGCTTAAAGAATGAAAAGCATTTTGAGAGAGAAATCCTCAAAGCCTGTAATTCTACATATATGCATTTTAGTCCAGGAACATGTCTGTAAGTTAATGATATACACATGTTTTATAGTTTTGATTTGACTAATATTTTTATTAATAAAATCTTGTAATTAAAAGTGCGATCAAAATAGGCACGACTGATATGACATCGTCACAATTGTTGGAAAACATAATAACTTCTGTTCCGTGTATCGTGAATAAAATACCAAGAAAATGGAAGAATATTCAATCTTTGAATATTAAGACTCATTTTTCCACAAGCTTACCTATATTTAATGCTGATCCATATGCTCAGATAACTAAATAGATATTCTATTTATAATAGAAATAAATTTTAAAATTGAATATTTACAGTAATATCAAACAATTAAAATACAGTACTGTATTTAATATTTAATTATACTGTATTTGATATACTATAACATTTCTAAAACTTTATTAAAAACTATATTTTTTAAAACCTAAGTGCACACTCTACAAACGTACGCTCTGTGTAAATTCACCCTAAATACTTGTTCCAACTGAGAAGAGCTCTATTACCGTAAATTTTTTAATTGCACACTTTTTTTTTTTATTGTGGGGTGAGTTTAAGGAAGCCTGACTGTATACTATTGTCTGAGTCTAGATTTAATAATTAGCTCTATTTACAAATAGCTATCATAGATTCCAGTACGTTTAAACAAGACGATTTACTAAAAATATAAACATTGAGCTTTTTCTTGTTCTTCCAATTTTTATCTATCGACATAATCTATAAACCCAGAAGTCTTAATACATATTGATTAATAGCACGCAATTCTATATAGTCGGATATTAATATATAAACTTACAAGTTTGACCAAACGCAATATAAATCTAAGTTAAAAAAAAACTAAATAAAGATAACGATAATACAGTCTATTTTAAATGTAAAATTTTTTTTTAAAAAGTTCTCCGAATTTATTAATAAGATCTACAAATGTTCTAGAGCTTTTCGTTCGATTTCGGATTACGACGAGGGCTAAGACTCTTTTAATGACAGATTAAGTAATAAGGCTCCGGAATAATATCAAATGATGTAATTTTTCAAACTTCGGCAATGTCAAAAATAATTAGATTGTATGTATGCCTTCGGCGCGTATTGGGCGTATTCAAACTACGACAATATGCAAAGAGGATTATATATATGAATACATAAGAGCAATATTTTTTTATTATACATGAAAAAAATTTTATTTATCGTGTAATTTTAGTAGTAGAAGTACATTGTATAGAATAAAAATATATATATATTGGAAATATCACTTTTACTGCCTAAAAGATGATAATGTAGAAGCAATGCAGAAGAGCATTATAATGGTAATCATAGAAAAAAAAAAAGTATTTGGAATATCGAAAAAGAAATCTGACCAAAAAAAGATTATGGAAGGTTTAATGAATGCGTAAGTATATAATTTTTTTTTCTTTTTTTTTTAAAAAAAATGTGTTATTTACGTTACAAGTAATGCGTGGTTAAAATTTAATCTTGTGAAATGAAAAAATATGGAGTTAAAAAAAATCATAATATTGTGGCGAATAAAGGGATATATAAAAAAAAAAAAAAAACTTTTTTGCTATATATTACAAAGGAAAGGTAGAAAATTAAACTGTGCGTGAAAAATTATGCAAAATATTTCAATACAATATGCTATAAAAGTATAAAAAAAGAAAATATAAAAATGAAAGTCATAAAAATCGTGTGTTAAAAGCTTGATATATATGTTCCTAGTCTGTGATTCTTATTCGATTCCAAATGAAAGGGATCAATGCTCTCTTTGCTACTGTTAAAAAAAATTATCTTTAAGAAATATACAGTATATATATAAAAAAAAAAAATTATGTTCAAAAAATTTCTAAAAAAATTTTTTTTTTATACCAGATAAGATATGGGAAAAAACGAAGAAAAAATATATATGTAATTTTTTTTTTTCACTAAGAGCCCATACATTACATCTACACATCACCATAATTGATTTATAACTAATTTGGTCTCTCCTGGTAATCATTAATTAGTTTTATTACTGCCTCAAAGATTCTTATCAAAAATTCATGGGTGACTTATGTAATTGTCCTTTTTTAAAGTCATACCAATAATTAACATTTGAAGTTTATAATTATCATACAGAACCGTTATTGCTGACAAGTTCTAACATTTCTTCAACCTTCAATTTTGCACGGTTTAAAGCTTCTCTAGCCGCGGAGAAATCCGTTGGTTGAGATCGTTTATCTAAAGTATAATCTCGGTATGCATCACGATAAGAAGTTACGGACGACGTTGAAGATGGTGATTTAGTTGATTTAGTTGGTTTAGTTGGTTTAGTTGGTTTAGTTGTTGTTGTTTTAGTTGTTGTTGTTTTAGTTGTTGTTGTTGTTGTTTTACTACTTTTCTTTTTTTGGGCGGCATTAGGGGTACCAGGTGCAGAACTACTTTTTATTCCTCTTGTAGTATTTGTAGAATTTTTGGTAGTTGTAACAGATGGTCGTCTCGTACCAGGCGTACTACGTGATGTGGATTTTACACTACTGGGTGGACTAAACTCTCGATGTCTAAATATTTTTAATTGCTCTGATAAATTCCTTAATGTCAGTGAATCCGCAGCTTGAAGAATGTCAGTTAATGCAACAGATTCTTCTTCAATAGAAGTTGCATGACTACTAACGCTAGTCGCTCGTGATGGTGGACGTGAAGAATAAGTCGGTGATAAAGTAGGAGAAGTAGCCTCATAATGGTAATTATGATGTTTTTTAGTATAAGAACTGCGAGTTGGACTTGTTGCTCTAGTAACCGGAGGTGATAAATATGCTGATTGATAAGAACGTGGAATCGATGGAGTGGGTGATTTTGCGGTTAAAGGTTTATCTTTTAATGTTGATGATAAAAGAGGTTGACGTTTGCTTGAAATATAGTTATGTGAAATATCATCATAATCATTTCCATCTTCAAGATAAAATTTATTACGAGAGGGGCTTTGACGATGATTATCATCAAGATGAAATTTATTATAAGAAGGACTTAAGGGACTTGAGCGATAATAACGATCCTTATCATCTTCCAATGGGAAGTTTGATCTTGGAGTTAATGGTCTTGATGTTATGGCAGGTGAATAAATTTGATCCTTATAAATTCGTGGATCCAAACCATTACTTTTTCTTAACCTAGGATCATCATCATAAAACCCATTTGGAGTTGGAGGACTACTTGGAGTTGATACAGAACTACTATCACTGGCAGTTGCACGATGACGTATATGATCTAAATATGAAGGATTAACAGCAGGAAGAGGGGAATGGACATTTGAACGTGATGAATCAAGATCATTAGTTGAAGAATAAGAAGTATTTCGGGAGTGACCATTACTAGATGACTGGTTAGCATATCGACCATAAGGATCTTTGTCAGAAATATGAGAAGATCTACTACTAGTATACTTATCATATTCATTATGGTCTCGTCTTTTTTGAATATTGTTAATATTATTACGAACATCAAAGCCATTATCAAGTTGACGTTCCGTTACATAATAATTATAATTTGTATCTGATAAATGATTATTATAACGATCATCATGTGATTTATTGTGCCGCCCTTCATCATAGTCATCTTTGCGACTATAAAAGGTATCCTGCTTATTATCATATAAATGTTCATAATCACGTCTTCTTTCATCCATGTGCGTATCCCGATTTCGAGGCCTTCCAGGATACTCGATATTAGAAGTATTACGCCGACGATAATCAGAAGTCTCAGGTTGAGACTTTAAATCATCGTGATTGTAGACCGAATTACGTAAAGGAGAGCTACCAGAACTTTTAGTTTTTTGCATCTCAACACTTTTAATTTTTTGCATCTCATTACTTTTAATTTTTTGCAATTCATTACTTTTAATTCTTTGCATTTCATTATTTTTAATCAAACTTGAAGAATAATTATAATCATCTAGATTGAGATTACTGAATTTATCGATAGGGTTATCATAGTATTCAATATTATTACTACGATAATTACGATATTCAGCAGAAGTAGAAGGTCTTATTAAGTTGTGATCACGATTACTTTTTACAGAGGTCACATCAGTAATTGGTGATGGTTGAAGCTTCCGTGATTCAGAAGATTTTGAATCACTACGATTATAACCGTCTAATGATCTGAAATTATCTAATGGAGCAGACCAAGAACCCCTTCTTTGAAGGGGTTTTCTTTCATGATCATAATATTCCATCCAGTCTACAAATTGTTGCCTATATTCGGTTTCATAAGGACCAGAATATTGACTAGCAAGTTCCTTTACTTTTAATTGGTCTTTTAAAGAATACATAGAGCGACAACGAGATTTTTTAGATAATCGAGAACCTTCCAAAACCACCATCTTTTTTTCAACAGAATCAAAATTTGACTAAGGATAAGATAAATAGATTAAAGTGAATAATTAAATGAAAGAAAGGGTAGTAGAATATAAAGAAGAAGAAGAAAAAAATACCTCATTTGAACCGTTTCTGAGAGTATCTTTCCACTTATCAGTACCAGCACTTGAAGTGAATTTTTCAGAATTAGAGATAGGTATATCCGATTCAGTAACAAAAGTACCATTTTGTTTTACATTTAGTTCCACGGGTACAACACAAATATCTTTTGGTTCGGGAGTATTCCTATTAGTATTAAAACCATCACCAGTTTTTGACAAAGTTTTTACGGATATATCTGTTAACCGAGAAACATCTATAGATTTATTATCAAGAGCAGAAGATTGAGGAGAAGATTGTGAAGTAGATTGAGGAGTAGATTGAGGAACAGATTTTGAATCAGATAATAATTCATTAACAGGTGTAGAAGGTGAAGGAGTAGGTGATTGTTTCCATGTAAATTCTCTTTGATATTCTGACCTAGAAGGAGCTTTAGGTGGTTTATTTACTTGAGCAAATGGAAGCTTCCATGAATATGAACGTTGATATTCACTACTAATTTGACTATCTGCCAAACTAGCCGGCTTTTGTAAATTATCTGTGGACAAGGATTGCGTCAGTTGAGAGCCAGCATTTAATGGAACTTCCGTTGACATTTTTTTATTTATTTATTTTTTTTTTTAGTGGATCTTTTTTTTCTTTTTTTTTTTTTTACGGTTACTCTAAAATTCGTTAAACCGTTACTTGAATATTTAATCCAAAATCCAAGTCAAAAAAGCACTCTAGTATGTGAAATCAATTTGTGGTATCCGCCATAACGCAATCCTCTAAATAATTTACGTATCTCAGTGCTAAATGTATAGCGTTGAGATTAATTATGGTCAGAACGAGTATCTGTAAGGTTAACGGTTAAAAAATTAAATAGGGGTTACTAAGGGATGTAATAAAATTAAAAATTTTTTATTTTTTCACGAGTTAAAAAGTGAAAATAACTTTTTCTAAATAATTTGTTTAAGAAAAAAATTTTTTAGTTGTACCTTTTTTTTTTTTTTTTTGAAAAAAAAGAACACTTACAGCAAATGGTAATCGGGAGAAAGCCGGTTGTAATTATATTTATTTGGTATTTAATAATTTATCTATATATATATATATATATATATATATATATATATATAAAAAATGGAAAAAGGGACTTAAGGGGAAGTCGAAGATGGGGGTAGGGGGGAGAACAGGAAAAGTGGAGAATAACAAGATATATACCTATACTGTGTTATGAAAACTGATTACCCAATTATATAGATGGAAGGTTGAACGAAACCTTATTGCATAAATTCTTTTTGAAAGTCAGTCGCTGTGTTTGAAAGGCAAAGGCTTTTTTTTTTTTTTATGTAATAGTAATTCAGTAGTAAAAAAAAAAAAAAAAAGTGATACTTGAATGGTGATTTATTAAAGAAATAGCATATCAAATGAACTCTATTTGAAGACGAGGAAGTGCAAGAAAAACAAAAAAGAAAAAAGTTACAAATATTTCAAAAAAAGGAAATTACAACTTCGGGAAAGGCATAACAAAAAATTAAACTACAAACATATAAAATGATTAATAAATGCGGTATGAATGCGCAATTTATATGTCCCTCTTATGACGAAATTTTGATCGGTCGTACATAAATGTGATAATACTATAAATTCATTTTGATGAAAGAGATTAACCAGAACAAACATCACTTTTCAAAAAGAACATCATGTTATTAAAGTTCATCGATTAGACGCCAAAGTATCATTAACTCCAAGCATCAAAGGGGATTACAAATTTTTTTTGTAACATTAACTTAATCCACATGCCTCGCTTTCTTAAGGTTAGGCTTGTATGAAAGAGCAATTCACATGAACTGACATTCTGGAAACACAAATTCATTTTCGGTAAATTTTAAACAAATTAAGCTGCAAGACTGTATGTGTTTAGTAATTATCTTTTTTTTTTTATACAACCCATTATACTCATCACACAGTTGTTTAACGGGGGGCGTATTATTTATCATTGTCCAATTTGAGTAATCGATGTAGCCCATTTGACCTTAAATATTCATTACCTAGACTTTTAATTAATTTCCATTAGCACAAGGAGGATAAGGGCAAAACGCCACGACTTTATTAAAATTTGATGAGATCTCGGTATGGCTGAAAAGATTGATCTCTTTTTTAAAGAAACAAGATCGGATTGACTTCCACTAGCATTTAATCAATCAAAGAACTTTCTCAAGTCTTTATGTGTCTTTTTCTAAAAGTTCGAAATAAAAATAGAAAATATTCTAATAGAAAAAAAAACAAAAAAAACAACTGTATTACATCAGATCAACGCTTATAATATATGCATTGCATGAAAACCGCCAAATTTTTTTGTTGTTACGACTTGAATAAAACCATCTACGGAACTATTAAATTACCTGAACAAAGAAATATAACCAATCAAAAAGATTAGATTTTTGATATCAAACATTAATTCATTCATTACACATATGTCATTTATTGTGACCAGTGAGTATTTACCTTGTGACCAGTGATTTGAATAAACAAAGACCATTATTAATTATTTCAAGGAGACTGTGACATAACATAGTCGCTATATAAAGAAACTTAATCTTTCTTCTAATTGCTTAGTTCTATTTCTTAGATAAGCATAGAAACAAAAAAAACATTCTTGGATGTTTTAATTCATTCTAACTTTTAACCTTAATATATATATATTTATACTTTCAACTCCTATGTTAAATATTTATATATTTATATATTTATTCCAAATTCATATTTTTCATGATTAACATTTACAGTTTAAGTACGTGCGTACGTAAGATCTTTTATTATTATTTTTATTATTTTTTATTATTATTTACTCTTTCAGTTTCACCATCGTGTTCACGTGTACCAATGTTACGAATATTTAGTGTATACACTTAGTGTATACTTAGTGTCAATCGACATTTCTCCAACTTCACACCTATTGTAGTTCACCTAGGTCTGTATGTATGCTATTCGATCTGATAAAATATTATCCCATTTTACGAACAAACGCATAAGCTGTATATCACAGGATAAATTACGTTAGTGACTATCGATCGTAATATGTTAATTTTTGTTACTCTACTTTACAATACTTTACAATACTTTACAATGACTTTAAGATGATTGTACAATGAGCACAATGACTTTAAAATGTCTAGAAAGGATTATGTAAAAAGTCGATCATACCTTTTTAAGTAAATTGATCTACATCATATTGTTTCGTATCTAACCATTTTTGTGCTTTATGTTGTACGCTTTTTTTTTAGGTATTCGAAATCATTACAAATCATACAAAGTTGAAACTGGTTTGGTAACAATATACGTACTAAATTTCCATTATCTTTTTCATTTTTGCTACTTACCCTACTTGCCCTGTGACATATTGATAAATGATACTCAAATATTTGGAATAATTGGTCCTCCTTATCGCATTGTAATCGTGAGAACTATTTTTTTACTATGAACTTGCAATTTACGTATTATTAAATAATATTTACGAACTTGGAATTACTGTTTATAAGTTTAAAGTTTTTAAAAATGTGAACTAGCGACGATCTTATATAATTCTGTCTGTATTACATTATTTTTAAAGACTAATTATCCTTATCCAAATTCCAGTCTCGACCTCATGCATGCAAATTAAACGCGCCATAATGCAAACTGCCGATTGGCTGCTTGCAAGATACCGCCTAATAATAACCAATTATTTCTCGAAATTTTTACCCTAATTAAGATTATTTTAGACACTATCGCTATTGAATATGTTTAGGTGATGAGTTTGATAATTTTGCATATAGGCGTACGTACTGTACGTACTGTACGTACGTATGTCTCAGGTTTTATATAAAAACATTTAGGCAAGATGTGATCATAAATTACTACGTATTGATCCTTCAAAATTTCTTGTCAAAACTCTTTTTCCATTCCTGTTTCTGATGCGCATATTTTATTGATCTATCTTTGGATTTTGGTTAACCTTAACATTTTAGTGCTAATTGTGTGGAATTTGCTTTACTTATCTATTCTTTTTAAACTTCTTTATTTATCTATATTTTTTTAGTTTGGTTTGATTCTGACGATAACGTGTTTTAACAATCAGGCTTCTTTGAAGGTTTACCTTGCAAATATTTTAAATTAAAACTGATCGCTAACTTTATTCTTTGTAATAAATCTACTGAGTTATCAGTCGTGCTTTTAAAATTTTGCTTTTGAGTTGAAAGTTTAATATTCGTACAGAATGTACTGTACGTATAATGCTAAACTCTATATTTGATATAATATATATAATTATATTTTTTATAAAAAAAAACGTTTGATAATGATAACTTTGTAGAGCTCGTGTTTTGTAAAATTATTTAATAATTCTTTTTTTTAAAAAAAATTTAATACAAATCATATGATTTTAAAATATCGTTGCTTAAATTATATATATATTTTTATATATGAGTGTCGCCAAAAGAAAACCCGACAATTTAAATATATATTTAAATTGTCGGGTTTTCTTTTGGCGACACTCAT